GCTGCACTCTTTTTCCCTTCGTCCAGTTTTTGTCCCAATTGGGTTTTCCTGGAAAGGTTTTTAATGAGGCAGCAACAGAAAGCATACTACGAAGAAAGTTTCAACTGCAACAATAAGACCTTCTAATAACAAGGCACACAAGCATAGAATCAAGTTGACGGTTAGTTAATCTTTCGCTCGATAGCAAAATTCCTATCGGGAAGTTAGGTTTGTTATCGAACAAAGGTTACCCGACCATTCACAAGTGCAAACCACTAGAGGGTTGTGAGATAGTCTTTTGCTCGATAGCATAAATTCCTAAGGGGAAGTAAAGTGTGTTACCGAGTTAAAGATTGTCTGGCAATTCATTAGTGGGTCCTCGAAGGTGCAAAACTTTCAATGTTTCAATTTGCATTCTTCGCATTCGAACACTGGGGGTAAATGATATGAGGATACGACAACAATGATTGCCACGTAGACCAGAAAACAAAAATCGTAAACATAATTGTATCATCGGGACCAGGGACTGCGCGGCCAGCCCCGTAGAAACAAGTTGTACAAGTTAGCCACAAGTAACGAAAATTTCTTTTCAGCATAACAAATGCTTATATACTTTTTGAAAATGGAAGGACTAAAATGAAGTCCTTTTATTTCTATCTTGTTTCTTGTCTGAACGATGAATTGACTTTGTCATTTGAAAGTTAAACAAGTACTTCAAATGCTAGTGCTATAATGAACAGGAGACGTCCTCTTTAAGAGCACCGTAAACATAAGAGGGCCCTCTCTTATGAAACACGTTAAAGGGTTGATTTCAGAAGAACTTATGCCGGGAATCAAAATGCATTCGGGAAAAAATACACCCGAGGCCTTGCACAAAAAGACGCAAAAATCAAACTTGCGCAAATACTTATGAAAACCCTCACGTTAAAGGGTTAATTTTGGAAGAACTAATGCTTTGAATCAAAATGTCTTCGGGGAAAAAATACACCCTAGGCCTTACACAAAAAGATGCAAAAAGCAAACTTGCGCAAATACTTATGAAAACCCTCACGTTAAAGGGTTGATTTTGGATGACTTTGTGCCCGAAATACAGATGCTTTTGAGGAAAAAGTACACCCAAGGCCTTATATAATCAAATGCAAACAAGTTGCGCAAAACACTTAAGAAAAAAAGAATACAAAGGTTAAAACTTGCTTCAATGTTCAAACGAAAGAATGTAGAAAGACTCGTGCAATACTTGAGAAAAATATATTTTTATTTACAACAAACGTGCCAAAACGGTATAGTTACAAAAGTCGAAAAAAGAAAGGAAAAAATAAACTATTGCATCTCCGGAGCCTGGAGGAAGATAAGGGTCCGCATCCCTGGTAGAAGTGGTAGATGTGTCGTCGGTTCGATATCCTGGCCTTCATCATTTTGGCCCTTAGCATCATCACCTTACGGTTCCTCTTTAGTTTCTAAGAACGCAAATTCGGAACCAGCAGAATCAGTAGCATCAGGTAGGGGCCTTCCTATGTTGGACCTAGCTTCATCACCTTACGGTTCCTCTTTAGTTTCTTGAGATGCTCCACATTCCAATTGCTTGGAAACTTTTCTCTATTTTGATTCTCCAACTCGTACAAACCTTTCCTGGTGACAGGTGAAACCCGGTAGGGGCCTTCCTATGTTGGACCTAGCTTCCCTGCATTAAGATCCCGGGTGTTTTGAGTTACTTTTCTTAGGACCAGGTCTCCTACTTTGAAATAACGAAGGTTGGCTCTTCGATTATAATATCATTCCATTCACTGCTTCTGGGCTGCCATTATTATATGCGCCACGTCCCTATGCTCATCGAGCAGCTCCAAGTTGATTAACATTGCTTCATTTTTTAACTCTTCATTTTCTTGGAAATATCTCAAGGTGGGCTCCCATACTTCCTCTGGGATTAGGGTTTCTGCTCCGTATACAAGTTCAAAAAGAGTTTCTCCTGTGCTTGATTTGGTCGTAGTTCGATATGCCCATAAAACTCCAGGTAGTTCCTCAGGCCATTTACCTTTAGCCGCTTCCAACCTCTTCTTGAGGTTTTATATAATCACTTTGTTTGTTGACTTCGCTTGACTATCTGCGCTCGGATGGTAGGGTGATGATATGATCCTCTTTATTTTCAAATTTCAAGGAACTTTGTGATCTTTGCACCGATAAATTGCGGCACATTATCGCATGCTATCTCCTTTGATATTCTGAACCTGCAGATTATGTTTTCCCACAAGAAATCCACCACTTCGTGTTCGCCAATATTCTGATAAGGACCTGATTCCACCCTCTTAGAAAAATAGTCAGTTAAAATCAAAAGAAATCTTACATTACCGGGAGCCGGCGGCAGTGGTCCGACGATGTCCATCCCCCATTTCATGAAAGGCCAGGGAGACAGAACCGAGTGTAGTGGTTCTTCCGGTTGATGTACCAGCGGTGCGTAGCGTTGGCACTTATCGCATTTTTGTACGAAAGCTTTGGCGTCTTTTTTCATGCGAGGCCAATAATATCCTACCCTTACCAGTTTTAACACTAAGGAGTCTGTGCCCGAGTGGTTTCCGCATATCCCTTTGTGGACTTCTCGCATAATGTAATTAGCTTCGAATGCTCCCAAACAACGGGCCAGTGGTCCTTGGAAGGATTTTCTGTACAATTGGCCTTTTTTGAAGCTATACCGCGCTGCTTTGACACGTAGCGACCAGGATGCCTTGGCATCTTCGGGAGATTTTCCGTGCTCGAGATAATCGATGATCTCATTCCTCCAGTCCCAGACCAAACTAGTCGTATTTACCTTGTAGTAGATCTCTGTATCCAAGACCGAGTGCATCAGTAATACTACCGTCCAGAACTCTGATCCCTTAATTTTTGTTGATGAAACGAGGTTAGCCAATGCATTTGCTTCTACATTTTCTTCCCTCGAGATTTGAGTAATCGACCACTCCCAAAATCGAGCCAACAGAGCCTGGACCTTTACCACTTATTGTTGCATGCACTCCTCTTTGGTTTCGAAGATCCTGTAGACCTGATTTACCACCAGTTGTGAGTCGTACTTGATTTCTATGACCTCGAAGTCTAGTCCAGGCCAGTTCGAGTCCTAAAATCAAAGTCTCATACTCTGCTTCATTGTTAGTTAAAGGGACCATTCTGATGGCTTGCCTTAGGGTTTCTCCCGAAGGCGTGGTTAATACTATGCCAAACCCGGACCATTTTACGTTGGAGGCTCTGTCCCTAAATAAGTTCCAAATTCCCGATGTCGATTCTGACACCATTACCGCCCCTGGTTGCTAGGGGCTGCAATCCCGGACTAAATCGGCCACAAAGTCAGCCAAGACTTGTGACTTAATTGCAGTCCTTGGTTTATATTCTATGTCGAATTCACTCATTTCGACGGCCCATTTGACCAATCTACCCAAGAATTCGGGTTTTTGAAGGATGTTCCGTAGAGGAAAAGTGGTCACCACGGCTATCGAGTGACTTTGAAAGTTGGGCCTCATCTTTCGAGCGGCGACTTCGAGAGCTAAGACCAACTTCTCCAAATGCGGGCAGCGAGTTTCTGCTCCCGTTAAAATTTTACTAACGTAATAAATGGGAGATTGCATGCCTTCGTCCTAATGGACTAAAACTGCACTTACCGCTACTTCCGAGACTTCGAGGTAGATCAACGGTGTTTCACCTTCCTTCGGTTTCGAAAGTAACAAAGGGTTTGAAAAGTATCGTTTCAAATCTCTCAAAGCCTGTTGGAACTCTAGGGTCCATTCGAAGCTGTTTTTCTTTTTGAGTAGTGTGAAGAAATGGTGGCATTTCTCTGACGATCGGGAAATGAACCTGCTCAAAGCGGCCAGTCTCCCCGTGAGCCTTTAGACTTCTTTCACATTTGACAGTTGGTCTGTGATGTCCTCGATGACCTTGATCTTTTCAGGATTTACCTCAATCCTCCTTTATGATACCAGAAATCCTAGGAACTTGCTAGAGCTCACCCTGAATGCAGATTTCTCGGGGTTAAGCTTTATATTATTCTTCCTCAGGATGTCAAAGGTTTCTTGTAGATGCTTAAGGTGGTCACCTGCATTCAATGACTTAACGAGCATATCGACTATATAAACTTCCATTGTTCTCCCTATTTGTTTTTCAAACATCTTGTTTATGAGCCGCTGATAAGTGGCTCTGGCGTTCTTCAACTCGAAATGCATCACATTATAGCAATATGTGCCGAAATTCGTTATGAACGAAGTCTTTTCCTGATCCTCCAGGTTTATCTTAATTTGGTTGTACCCGGAATAAGCATTGAGGAAACTCATTAACTCATGCCTGGCCGTCACATTGGTCATTTGATCGATGTTTGGCAGAGGGAATGATTCTTTTGGGCACGCCTGATTCAAATCCTTATAATCTACGCACAAGCGAATTTATTGTTCTTCTTAAGAACTACTACTACATTAGCTATCCAGTTTGGATACTTTACCTCTCGAAGCGAATCAATATCAAGTAAGCAAGTTACCTCTTCTTTGACGAGTTTATTCCTGGCCTCCGCAATAGGACGTTTCTTTTGTCTTACCGGAGGTATGTTGGCATCCAAACTTAGCTTGTGTACGGCCACCTCCGTAAGGATACCTTCCATGTCCGCATGGGACCATGCAAGACATTCCGCATTAGATTTAAGAAATTCAATAAAGCCAGACCTGAGTTCGAGGCGTTGTCCGATTCCCAAGTGGAATTTCCGTTCTAGGAGCTTTTCAAACAATGAAACTTGTTCGAGCTCTTTTGCCATGGATTTTGTTGCATCCGTCTCTTCTGGTACCTGAAAATACCTTGGCACTTGATAAGATTCCGATGCTTCTACCCCCGGGCTAACTTCATCTGATTCGGGAGCCGGCATCGGTTCCTGTAATTGCTATGTCGCGTGCTCCTCTACTTTGCTACTGGAGACCAAAATCGCATTCATCTCCTTTGCCGACGATTGCCCTTATCTGTTTAATTCCTTCGAGCGTTGGAAATTTTAGCAACTGATGCTACGTTGATAGTACAACTCTCATCTCGTGCAACCATGGTCTTCCCAGAATAATATTATATCCCATATCACCATCTACCACTTCAAAAAAAGTCATTATCATCACTCCTTCGGCGTTCGTGGGCAACAAAATCTCTTCTCGGGTTGTCACGCTCGCGAGGTTGAACCCGGCGAGGAGTTTTATGGCCAGAATGATGCTTCCGGTGAGTTTAGCTTGCTCCAATACTTTCCATTGTATGATATTGGTCGAACTCCCTGGATCCACTAGAACACGTTTGATTTTAAAGTATAGCACATTTAAAGAAATTACCAGTGCATCGCTGTGCGGTAGCAGCAATCCATCTGCGTCCACTTCCGTAAAAGTGATGTCATCTTCGGCGACTTCACAAAGTCTCTTGCTATAGGTTACTGATACTTTCATCTTTTTGCTGCCGAGAAGGTGACCCCTTTGATTTTGTTCCCTCCGAAGATCATGTTAATCGTCTGGTACAGGGGATCTTCTCCTACTTTCGAGGGTTCCACGTTATCCCGGTTGCGACCGTAGTTGTTCTTGGCCCGATCACTTAATAATTCTTTGACCATTCTTCAACAATGTCGCTACTTCTTCCTAGAGATGTCAACAGTCCCCAGTTCGGTGGCCATTCGCCCTGTGGTATTCACGCTATAAGTTGGGATCCCTATGGCTGCGATCGGATTTCATCGGCCTCGGAACCGTGCTTCTTTGATGTTTTTTCATTGCTGATACCAACTCTACTACACTGACATTGAAATTGAATTCTCAAAGTCTGGGGTAAGAAGGATCCCGCATAGCTGACGCTTCTTTGTCCTGTAGCGATCTATTATTCCGACTCGATCAATCCTTCTGTCGGTAGCGAACCGGTCTGCTGACTAGAAGCCTCAGTCGCGGCCTTCGGTTTGTTCGTAGGGCAAAAACCGGCCCCTCAAAGACCGTCTGTCTGTGTCGAAATCGTATTTTGATTTTTCTTTATTCTTCTCTCATCCTTTTGCCGATGACGGGAAGCCAACCTGATCATCTTCGATCCTTATCTTCAATTTGTACCAGTTGTGGACATCCGCCTAAGCCGTTGCTTGGAACTGAAGCAAGCTTTCCTTCAGTTTCCAGGAAGTATCTGAACTTCTCGGATTCAACCCCTTGGTGAATGCTTCAGCCGCCCATTCGTCCGGAACAGCCTGGAGCAACATCCTCTCCTTTTAGAATCGGGTGACAAATTCCCGCAGCAACTCGGATTCTCCTTATGCAATTCTGAATATGTCGGCCTTTCAGGCCTACTCATTTCTAGCCCCAGCATGGGCCTTAATAAAAGAGTCCGCAAGAATCTCAAAGGAATCTATGGAGTGCTCGGGTAACAACGAATACCATGTCAAGGCTCCCCTCGTGAGAGTCTCTCCAAATTTTTTCAGCAAAACGAATTCAATCTCGTGGGGAGCTAAATCATTCCCCTTCACCGCCGTTGTTTAGGTGGTAATATGCTGCTGAAGGTCTGAAGTTCCATCATACTTTAGCACGTCAGGCATTTTAAACCGCTTCGGAATTAATTCTGGTGTCGCGCTTGGTTTGTACGACAACTGAGTATACTTCTTTGAATCCGGACCTTTCAACACTGGTGGTGCGCCTGGGATTTGGTCCATGTGGGCGTTCACTTCTTTCATAAACCGTAAGAGTTCATTCTTGAAGGGATCGTTTTCATTATTGGGTCTGGATCGGCTCCTCCTAGCCCTATTGGAACCAATCTCGCCCATTCGGGTGTTGTTGTCGACCCTCTGTGTTGTTTGATTTCCGGGAGCACCGAGAGGAACTAGATATCGTCTACTCACATTATTGGAAGCCCCCGATAATGCCTGCTTCAACTCTATCATAATCTTATCCTGCTGTGTGAGATGGCCTAGAATGATTGCTTGTTGCTCTTGTAGGACCCTTATCGGATAAACAGCATGCTCCTCTTCAGCATCATCGGAAGTTGTCTCTCGAACATGTCGCGGGTATCGCTTGTCGTGGACCGGCGTGGCATCATTTTCCTCATTGTAGGTGTCGCTAATTGAATCCTTGAAATGAGGCTGGTCTCCTCCAACCTCAGGATTATGTGTGTTGTTAACACCGTTATCTCCATTTTTTATGATTTTTGCTAAGACAAATAATCAAAACACGTAGTAAAAGAGGCAAGGATCAACTTAATTACACGCCTGTCTAGGCCCCACGGTGAGCGCTAAACTGTTTAGCCGTAAAATGGAATAGTTGAATTTATACGTAGTTTCTAGACAAGTGAACTAATTCAATCCTGAAATAATAAAATAATTAAAGAAATAAACAATACTTAGCCTTGAAATGAGGACACAATAGCAGAAACAATAATTCTGGGAGAAGGGCTTCCGGGCACAACAATGAAGAAAACAAGGAACATGAAAGTAAAATTGTATAAAGCTTTTAATCGATTATAGTGTAAGTTTGCCAGAAAAATGTCGCCCCTTTACAATGATAGAGCTCACTATTTATAGTTACATCTATGGAATAAGGACCTAGGACCAAGCCCCTCTTCAATGCCAACTATGAGGGCCATTGAAGAGTGCGTAATGGTAGGCATGAATGCCATATCCTTTTGTAACGGCAATGCACTAAATGCTATGGAATATTCTCCATTAAATGCTATCGGGCGGAGGGTATTTATTGTCTCTTTATGAGTGTCATTCCTTCCGGTGATAAACGAGATAATTATCTTCGGTTCTGATCCCTAACCTTAGGTTCCACGTGTCATTCTTTTAGGCGGCAACTTGGCATAGCATATTTTACCCTATAAAACCTCCACTAATAAAAATGTCTTCAAAGGAATATATGTGATCCCTTGTTATAAGTGTACAACAACAACCCAGTATAATCCCACGTGTGGGGTCTGGGGAGGGTAGTGTGTACGCAGACCTTTCCCTTGTTATGAGTGTACGCTAGGTTTTTCGGATGTAAAAGACTACAAAAAATCCTTGGACATTTAGGGTGAGTTCCTAAAATATTCTTCAATTTTTCCACGTTTGGTTGGCTTAAATATTTTGGAAAATATTTTCCTCGTGAACTCATTTTCCTTCAATTGGAGAAAAATATTTTTCCTATCAAGAAAAGGGAAAATATTTTTCAAAACTCTTCCTCAACCTTCCAACCCTATTCCCCATCCCCACAAACTCCCCCACACCCCACCCTCCCCTGTACCCCCCCACACCCACATAAACCCTCCCCCAACCCCACCCTAAACGAAAATATTAATAAGAGTACTTTCTTTTCATGTCATAGATAGAGTACTTTCTTTTTCAGTTCAACAAAATGAGTTTTTTTTTCATGAAGTGAAAAAAGTATTTGCTTTCATTTAAACAAAAAAAAAAAGTTGTGTCTTTTCATGATGTAGAAAAAAATATTTCTTTCATTCAACAAAATGATGTAGTAAAAGGTATTTTCTTTCATTTCAACAATATAAGTATTTTCTTAGTCCCTTTGTGTTTGTGTGAATTTTTACAAGATTAATTAAATTCTTGAAGAAAATAGAGTCCTAAAAACGTTGTGTAGGTTGGGGGAAGGGGAGCACAGAAAACATGGGGATTTGGGGAAGGGGGTGAGGAGAGTAACATAAAAAAATTATTTCCTAATCTCTAAATAAACACTAGAATTTTTTTTCCGAAAAATTTTTTCCACTCATCAACCAAACAAAAAGAAAAGTGATAAATCACTTTTTTCCAGAAAAATATACCAAACACACCCTTGAAGTTTAAGAACATGGCTAGGCTTATCTTTAGAGAGCCAATATAATGGTAGAACCCAAACGTGATTGGATTTCACTAATTTTAACTTAGATAATTAATTCAACTTTATTAACTCAAAATATTAATTTAAGTCAATGCATCTTGAATTTAAGATTTATCTCAAATTTGGTAGTATGTATTTTTTATACCAATATAATTTGAAAAAATATAAAATTGACCGATCAGTTGTAACTAATTGTATTTGTTAACTAAGAACAATATAACAATATGTATATACTACACTTATATAAAAAAAAATTAATGGCAATTATTTTGGAAATGACTAAAAATATATATTTCTCTTATAACTTTGATGTCTACAGTTGCAAAATAATTTTATATAAGACTATAATAGATGTTAGAATTGACATATTAAATAAGGTAAATACTTATTGGCATCAAATTTTACAGCAAGCCAACGAATATAAGGCATCTTATACACATACATTTTTAAAATTAATTGTTTAATTAGATATAAATATCCGGATAACTATTTAATTACCATATTAAAGAATGTCAGAAAGTATGCAGGGAAGTCGGTTACTGAAACTTGAAGCAAAAGAAACAGTTCGAATTACTAGGAGTGTAGTAGTAGTACTAAAACAAGGAAAAGCCCAGCAATATATTCTCTCTTCATTCAACTCAAGCGGGACCGAGAAAGGATGAAACACAAGAAGAAAATGCCAACCCGACAAGCCCCAATGAAAAAGAAATTCAGTACCCTTAACAGTCAAAAGCCTAAGCCTCCCCTCTACTCTCTTCCAGTTCAGACGACTCCAGTTCTTCAAATTCCGACTTAGACCAACCCCACTTACGCCGGCGTCTGGATTCTTCTGAGTCTGAATCTGATTCCGACTTAGAGCAATCCCACATCACCAGCAATTCCAGTACTATGATACACAATCAGCATAAGGAGCCAACGTGGATGCCAATGAGGATGCCAAGTAGACGAATTCAAAAATTAAAAATTAGTTAGAGTTTCAAAAACTAGTTAGAATTTAAATGTAATAATGGCGGGAAATGCAGTTAGAAGCAAACTTTGCATTTCCCACCTAGAATTCTGTTGTTATATGATCCTAGATATAAATGAGACTATTGTAATTGATTAGTGATATGAATATACAGAAAATTGTCCCAAATCCTCTCTTCTATTTCATTATTTCTGCTCTTCTCGTCGACTGCCTCAACTTCTTCTTCTCCTATTTCTCAGTTTCTTCTTCTTAATCCTTGTTCCATTCTCGATACCTATCAAATTGGTATCAATTGGTATCAGAGCTCGTCGTAATGGGACCACGTAAGGCTGTTGATCCAATCACTGAGAATCAGTCAGCTGACTGGCAGGAGTCATATGAGGACTTAGCTGCTCAACAGTTAGATCTCAAGGAGGAAATGACTCAAAAGCAACAGGAATTACGAGATGAATTGGATCGAAGGCACACAGAATTACTACATTTAGTAAACTCGCTGAAGAACTCCTTCGATGGATGGCAATTGCATCAACAATCAAAGGACAATGCTTCAAATTCATCAGGTAGAGATAAGGTTTCGCAATCTGGGCCAGGTATTCTAGGGCCAAACCCTTATACTGGGCATGCTATCCGTAATCATAACCTCAATTTTCCTCGATTCAATGGCGAAAATTTGAAAACGTGGCTCTATAGGATTGAGCAATATTTTTCTGTTGATAAAACTCCACTTAATCAAAGGATGATTCTAGTAGCTATGAATTTGGATGATGAAGCCTTAGAATGGCATCAATATTACTTGAAATGTAGGGATTCAAGTGATGCACTTGACTGGAATGAATACATAGCTGCCTTAATCGAGACATTCAGTGAAGAATTTTCTGATCCTATGTTAGAACTTAAGCAGTTAAGGCAGACAGGTTCAGTGAGGGAATATCAATTTGCCTTTGCACGTTTGTTAGCTTAATGTGATTTGTCTGTTAATCAAGCTATTTCTTGTTTCCTTGGAGGACTTAAAGAGGAATTAGTGCATTCTGTAAAGATGCATGAGCCTCAAACCCTGTCTAAAACTTATCGACTTGCTCGATTAGCTGAAGCAACATTAGCAGCTAATTCCAGAATAATGAGATCCAATTATGGTGGTCAAACCTCAGTTAATCTAAGGAAACCTGCTTTTGAAGGCACAACAGCTAAGCTTCCTACTCCCTCTACTGTGTTACCTCCCAAAGTGGGATTACCTGCTCCTAGACCTTTAAATGCAACCAAGACCAGAAGGACTATTTCTCCTGCTGAAATGCAGTCTATGAGAGCACAAGGTTTATGCTATTTTTGTGATGATAAATATACAGTTGGACATAAGTGTAACCTTCCAAAGCAACTGTTCATACTAGACTTAGATTATGGTGAGGACCTAAGTCATGAAAGAGATGTAGTGAAAACTGATGATGAAGGCAGAGAAGAATGGACTGCAACTGGGGAAGACACTCCCATGATTTCATTATGTGCACTGAGTGGAATCAAGGGAGCACAGACAATTCTTGTGACTGGATATAGCAACAAGCAGCCTCTACAGATCCTATTAGATGGTGGAAGCACTCACAACTTTATTGATTGTGAGTCTGCAAAAAGGTTGGGATGTGATATTACTCCTACCAAGGTGGGGTATGTTAGTCTTGGTAATAACTCTCTGGAAGCCACATCAGTTGTAGTGAGAAATTTTCAGTGGATGCTGCAGGGTACTACTTATTGTTCTGATTTAATAGTGTTTCCTGTGGGCAGATATGATTTGGTATTGGGAGCTTTATGGATGAAAACATTGGGACCAGTTACCATGGATTACACTACTTTAACTATGTCCTTCAATTACCAAGGGAAGCATCATCTTCTTAAGGGAGTATCTGATGAATGCAAATCATCCAGTCCCAAGTCCATAAACAAAAAGGGTAGTCAGCATATTCAGCTGCTTATGTTACATGTGCAACAGTCTGTTCATGCTTGCCAACCTATGGGTCAGTCTTATGCATTGCACCTTCCTGATGAACTTCATCCTTCACCTGATATCCAGCACCTCATCCTCCAGTATTCTCAGCTCTTTACAGAACCCACTACATTGCCTCCAACTAGGGGTGTTTTTGATCATAGTATTCCCTTACAACCTGGTACTAAGCCAATTAGCAGGAGACCATATAGGTATTCTTCAATGAAAAAGGACATTATTGAGCAGTTGATTAGAGACATGCTGCAGCAGGGTATAATTCAATATAGTAACAGTCCTTTTGCTTCTCCAGTAGTGTTGGTTGGTAAGAAGGATGGGTCTTGGAGACTATGTGTTGACTATAGAGAGCTCAATCAGTGTACTATTAAGGACAAGTTCCCTATTCCCATTATTGATGATCTGTTAGATGAATTAGCAGGTGCAATAATATTCTCTAAAATAGACCTTCGATCAGGCTACCACCAGATAAGGATGTTACCTAGTGATATTCCTAAGACAGCTTTTAAGACTCACTTAGGCCACTATGAGTATCTAGTTATGCCCTTTGGCTTAACTAATGCCCCATCTACATTCCAGTGCCTCATGAATCATGTGTTCCAGCTCTATATTCGAAAATTTGTGTTGGTTTTCTTTGATGACATCCTTATATACAGCAAGTCCCTTGATGAACATGTTATACATCTACAACAGGTGTTTGATGTCATGGTTCAAAACTCTTTGGTGTGTCTTGCGTGGAGTACTTGGCCCATTTTATCTCAAGTAAGGGTGTTTCCACTGATCCCAAAAAGATCATGGCTGTCCAGGATTGGCCTATTCCTACTAGTGTCAAACAGTTGAGAGGGTTGTTAGGTTTGGCTGGTTATTACAGAAAATTCATTAAAAGCTATGGCTTAATCAGTAGACCTCTTACTGAGTTGCTTAAATAGGATAACTTTAAATGGTCACCATCTGCAGCTCAAGCTTTTTCTGCTTTGAAAAAGGCCCTTACTTCAGCACCTGTGCTAGCCTTACCTGATTACTCAATTCCTTTTGTGGTTGAAACTGATGCAAGTGGTACTGGTATAGGGGCTGTTCTTATGCAAAATGATCACCCTTTTGCTTTTATTAGTAAGGGTCTAGCTCCTAGACACCTAGCTTTATCAGTCTATGAGAGGGAGCTGCTTGCCTTGGTGTTTGCTGTCACCAAGTGGTCACATTATCTGATGAACCAGCATTTCATTGTTAGAACTGACCAAAAGGCTTTAAAATATCTACTGGATCAAAAGCTCCACACTGACTCCCAATTGAGATGGTTAGCCAAGCTGCTTCCCTTTGATTTTGAAATCCAGTGTAAAAAAGGGAAAGAAAATGTGGCTGCTGATGCTCTTTCCAGAGTTTCTGGTGCTGAACTGATGTCCTTGATGGTTTCTTCTGTGAGCTCTGAGTTATGGCATTCTATTGCATCCTTATGGTCTTCTGATCCTGAGCTCAGTGCTCTTATTTCTTCTTTGCAACATACTCCTCATAAACAATTTACTTGGCTTAACAACCAACTTAGAAGAAAAGGTAAGTTGGTCATTGGGAAGGACCCTGCCTTAAGGCAACATATCCTCAGTCTATGGCATTCCACTCCTACAGGTGGCCATTTAGGGGTTGATGCTACTACTAGGAAGGTCATGGGCTACTTCTATTGGAAGGGTATCCGTCAAGATATTCTGGATTTCATTCATAAATGTGATGTTTGTCAGAGAAACAAGTATGACAACTCAGCTTCTCCTGGGTTGCTGCAACCATTCGCTATTCCTTCCCTTCCTTGGACAGATATCAACATGGATTTTATTGAGGGACTGCCTAAGTCTATGGGCAACACTGTCATTTGGGTTATTGTTGATCGACTCACCAAGTATGGCCATTTCATTGCCTTAGCTCACCCTTACACAGCTCAGTCCTTGGCCCATACCTTCTTGGATTCTATTTTTAAGCTACATGGATTCCCTGCTTCCATTACTAGTGATAGAGATCCTATCTTCATTAGTGCTTTTTGGAAGGAATTTATGTCTATCCAAGGTGTTTCTATTCATACTTCTACAGCTTACCACCCTCAAACAGATGGTCAAAGTGAAGTTTTGAACCGCTGCCTCGAAACTTACCTTCGATGCTTTTGTTCTGATTCACCCAAGGATTGGGGTTCCTTCCTCTCTATTGCTGAATGGTGGTACAATTCTACCCCACATTCAGCCATCAAGACTTCTCCTTTTGAACTTCTTTATGGCTATCTTCCTCCAATTCATCTTCCTTATCTTCCTGGGGACTCTTCTGTGGATCAAGTAGAAGATATTTTTTTAGTTCGCGAGTTTAAGCTTCAGCTAGCAAAATTTCATCTTGGTCGAGCTCAACAGCGTATGCAAACTCAGTCCAACCTCCACAGAACTGATAGAGTCTTTTCTGAGGGTGATTGGGTTTTTGTGAAGCTACAGCCTTATAGGCAGTCCACACTTTCTATTTCCCCATATCACAAGTTGACTTCTAAGTATTTTGGACCCTATCCCATCGTTAAGAAGGTAGGAGCGGTTGCCTACACCTTACTATTTCCACCAGAGGTCCAATTACATCCCACATTCCATGTGTCTCAACTCAAACGCTGTTATGACCTTCCCTCCACCATCATTCATCCTCCAGTTTTGGACTTGGCGAGTCCCTTATGTCCTCAACCTGAAGCATTCATAAGCAGACGTCTCATTAAGAAAGGTAACAGGGCAGTGGCTCAATGTTTGATCAAATGGAAGGATCTTGACGCATCCCAAGCTACATGGGAGTTGGCTTCTATCCTTCGCACCCGCTTTCCTCATTTCACCCTTGAGGACAAGGGTGTTCTTCATGGGGAGGGTATTGATACACAATCAGCATAAGGAGCCAACGTGGATGCCAACGAGGATGCCAAGTAGACGAATTCAAAAATTAAAAATTAGTTAGAGTTTCAAAAACTAGTTAGAATTTAAATGTAATAATGGCGGGAAATGCTGTTAGAAGCAAACTTTGCATTTCCCACCTAGAATTCTGTTGTTATATGATCCTAGATATAAATGAGACTATTGTAATTGATTAGTGATATGAATATACAGAAAATTGTCCCAAATCCTCTCTTCTATTTCATTATTTCTGCTCTTCTCGTCGACTGCCTCAACTTCTTCTTCTCCTATTTCTCAGTTTCTTCTTCTTAATCCTTGTTCCATTCTCGATACCTATCAAATTGGTATCATACTACCCCATTAAAGAGACCCCAAGAAGAGACTCAAACTGATGATGAGCAGAGTAAAAAGCTCAAGTCGTCATGTGATTTTCCGTGGAGAAAGCCTCCACCCAAGTGGGGTGATGAAGACCTGATAACTCTACTTAAAGGTTTGATTGAGTTCAAGTCCTCCGAATATGCAAAACGCCGGCCTTATGTAGACATGTACTCTTTCTACTACTTCATCGCTGAAAAATTGCAAGTCAAAGTTGATAGGTTTAGGATGAATGATAAGGTTAGGAGGTTGAAAAGGAAGTTGTTTGCTAATTTGGAGAAGAAAGGACAGGACCCTGTTTTCACTAATCCTCATGATTATTTAATCTTGAGCTTTCTAAGAAACTATGGGGTGATGATTATTTAGTCTATGAATTTTCAAAGAAAATATATGGTGGCAAGATTAGTGGTGGGATTATTAATAGGCTTGTTAAGAATGTGAACAGCGAGAGGGATCAAGTTAATGATACCTTTACAAAACTAAAGGAAGTTGAGAAAGAGATTGTTGTAAAAGAGGTGGCGGCTAGTGGTGAAATAGATGATCAAGATCAACTGAATTTTCAGTTCAAGTATCCCCATTTGGCTGCAACTTTTAATGTGATGAAGAAAAATATGAGTTCGGTTGGTAGTGATACAATGAGGAATTTGGAGGAAAAGTTGAAGAAACTGCAGGAGAAAGAAACTGATTTGAAGATAAAGAGGTTAGATTTGATTAGGGAGAATTGTAAATTGGTGGCTGGGCAACGAGAGGTAAGTAGAAATTGACGGCTTATACATGTTCCTTTTTTTGTGCAAAAAGTTACAGGTACTTACTGAATTAGTTTTCTTGGAGCTTTTAGATTATGTTTGATATATTTATTTTTTTGATTTGTATAGGAACATAAAAATTTGGTGGTTGGGACAATAATTTATGCTAATGTTTTTCCTTTTTGTTACTGGAATATTAATCCTGCTAGCTTTTAGTCAAGATTCATTATTGTTGCTATTTTCATTGTTATTATATCTGCACTCCTTTATTTCTACTACAGAAGAAACTGATATGAATTCCTTAAATTTTGCTTCTTTTGGTTTGTTGGTGAGAGGTTAATATGAATTTGTGGTGGTCTTAATCTGTGGAAGGTTTTATTAGAAAAACTGAATACTGAAACAGAATATGAGAGAATGCTTGAGCTAGGCGCCTATAAAAACTTTTTCAAAAGAATGATTGCTTGACTTTTGAGAATGACATAAAACACTATTTTTATTATTGTATATACACTGATAAATTTTATGGTACAATCGTCATTATAAGAGTTACACTTACCTATATAATCTTTTGAGTTACTTAATTGCATAATGTTTTTATAGTGTTAGTGTATATAAATTAATTTAAGATACAACAAACCTTTTACCTGTTATCTTGAGTGGTATAATTTGAAAGTTAAACAACATTCTTAAATAGATTTTGAAAGTTTGACTAGTTTAAAAAGATTTTAACTTTTAATACAGATATGCCTTTTGCTGCTACTCAAAGTCCAACGTAAAATTTACAAAAAATAGAACTTCATTAAGTAAGGAGCATTTTCCTTTGTCATGTTGGGATAACTGTTTTTAATGGAAAGCAGGTGCACAAACACTTTGAAGACTCAACTCTTAGTCTGTTTTAATGCAAATTCTCGCATTATTTTGAGAATGAAACACCTTACTATTGCCAATTCCATGATACAAACTGTACAACAAGGTCAAGAGTTGGATGTGCAATCAAATTTCTAACACCATTTCTAAAAAAACATGTGCAATTAGAGCCAATATCATAATTTCTAGAACCTATATTGTCCAGTATGATGCAGAGCATCATAAAAATCAGACAGTTATCGTTCTTAAGTTGTTCTGGTTTATAGGTAAATTATTTCAAGTGAAATGAGCTCTTAAACATGTTGTTCCCATTTGGACTTCTGCTCTCTGCTTTGTGTGTTGGCTATAGACTTCTCTTCATCGCCGCCTCCTTGCTTTGTCTGTTCCACACTTACCCTTTATCTCAATTTATTTTAGTCAAAACTAGTCAACCTTGTGTAGTGCAAAACACAGGTTACAGTTAGTTGTTCAACATAAATATGCATATACCATTGGTCTAGAACATCTCAAAAACTTTCATCTGCTCAAAGTATCTTATCTTCATAAGTTATGCCAGATTTTGACTAGCTGCGACATAATATGCAACAGAAAAGAGGGCATGAACAAAACACAAAATTCCACCAATGGATAGGTAATTATGATGTATGAAACCACACGAAGTTCTTGACTTGTGGTTCGCCTTTGTCCCAATCACTAGCATTCCCAATCCTACTGCAAATATGATCCTGAAAATCAAAAGACTTGTTTCAAAAATTTATAGACTTGTGACAGGAAGAAAAACCAAAGGGAATTAAGAAAATGAAAAAAGTATGTCAGAGGTGAATTCAAGATTTTAAGTTACTCGTTCCAATATTGTCCCACCAACTATTTCTTTGATACCATACCATGTAAAAACGAGACAAGCAATTGATAATTGCTTGATAGGGGTGGCTTTCCGAATATCATCAGTAGTACAAACACTGCAGCCTCCGAGAAGGTTGGCAAGAACATGAGCTATTCCAAGCAGAGTTGCTGCAGCTAACCCAAAAACAAATGCCTCATGGCTTGGCTTGTTACATGACTCGAACAACCACAGCGTCTGCTGCTTTTCCTGCTCCAATTCACAATCATAAAAAACGGATTTAAGTCGTTCATACTTACAAGGTAAAGACTTTTTTACACTATTAGTAAAGTGAATTTTAACCTTAATGACCGAGCCAGATTTTTTACTAAGGAGTATCAAAATATAAAGAAGGCAAAGAGATTCATTATATAATATATATATACATAATTTTAAGAAATGACAGTGTAAATTTTCGACGACACCCCTTCCATTTTTATAAGATTATCAATTATTACTTGTACTTATTAAAAGATTTACCTATAAATGACATGATTGTGTGGATATTTTTATATCATCAAACAGGGGCGGCTCAAGCATATGTGGTCTAAAGCCAAAGTTTAATGTGAGGCCTAAATTTTTAAAAGAAAGTTATGATATATATTTTTATTTGAAGTCTGTTTTTCTAGCTTTTTAGATGCAAAGTTGATAGTAATAATTTTCTTATAATCACTTTCCTCTAATAATTTCTTTTCAATTGATAACATAGCCAACCATTTTAATCTTTCTTGAGGCATTGTTGATCTTAGGTGAGATTTGGTTAATTATAATCTTGAAAAACTTCTTAACTTTCATGCAACTGTTATAGAAAAATTCTACTTTTGTACGTAAAGTACTACAGTAAATATTATATTTTTAAATATCTATACACCTATAAACCTACTAAATGCTGACTCTCTTTCCTTTTCCTGCTCTTTACGAAAATGATTATGTACATTGAACCTTTAGAAGTTAGAAACAGTGGCAGGTTTTGAAAAAAGAAGTGAGAATATTTAAAATCTTCACCGAATACCTTTAGAAGTTGTATGAACTAGAGTCGATTATAGAGCAGAATGAATAGAGAAGATTTATATAATGGATTTCAACAAATTAATTTGAAGTTAAGGCTTTGTAAAATTAATCGATTGATACCTGGTTTTCAGATGCTTCTGCTTTATATCCAAGAATCCCAGCCACTATATCGAAAGCCACTATCAGCAAACCAGCCAAGATTTTAACCAATTTGGCCATATTTTCATGAGTTCAAAGATCTTCGAAAGGAAGAAAGAATGATTGAAGGTTACCACTTGCTCTCTCCCTCTCTATATGATGTGATTACGAGCAATATATGCTAAGCATAAATATTTATATAATCTTGTACCAAGAAAATAAATATACTATATAATCTTAAATGAGATGAGGTTGAATAATGGAATAAAAATTAATACCCGAATATTATGCTATATTTGCAACTTTAAAAGGAGATAAGAGTTGGATGACACTAAAGATAGGCTTATATTTTCAGTACAAAAGCTTACTTATTTTGGCTTTCTTTTTGCCTACTTTTTATCTCCTTTTTGAATATGGCAAAGGAAAGTAAGGCATAAACCAGCAAATGAGTGGTATGGCTTAGGCATCTGTCACGGAGAGAAAAGGTATTCCTTCTATTATGTGATTTCTTTCCCTTTTTTATTTGTTTCGAAAAGAGTAATACATCTTATATTTAAAATTAATTTAACTTTAAATCGTTGAGTATCCATTGCCTTTTGGACTTTGAAGTAGGTAGTGAATTATATTTATCCGACTCTTCAGTGTTTGCTATTCATAAAACCAAAGGACGTTCTAATACCGTACAAAATCTTTTATAGCACATTCTCTAGTACCAACCCGACATTCTCATAAAAAAAAAACTAACATTCTCATGATTATATATATTTTGATACCAACCCCAACATTCTCAATTTCTCATGATTATATATATCTAGATTTTGTCTTTCTTTCAAATGCAGTAAGCATTCCTCATGCTAGTTATTTGCTTGCTTTCTCAAGGCATTCCAAAATTCACTTCATTCTCTAGGAATCTGCTTGAATATTATTTTTTCGATTTCGATAGCAAGAAAGATTGTTTGAATTTTGAATCCAAGACGCTTGACTCGTTTTTAAAACAAATTAAGATATAGGTAATTAATTTTTTTTTATGCTTGTTCTTGAAGTATAAACGGCTCATTTATTCCAGAATAGCTTGTTTCAAGAAGACTTCTGCTTACTCAATAAATATCTTGATAATTATCTAAGAAAAGGCAATATTTTATATATATAAAAAGATCTCGATAGAAAATATTTTGATTGGGTCTTGAAATTGAGGTTTTTAATTTTTAATTTAAAAAAGATACAATCTTAATCGACAATGGATTTTTCCTATATAGGTGATAACTGAATGACACAATTGGCTAGACAATGTACAACTGATTGATCTATGATGTTGAATTGTATTTATATCCATTTAACTACATGATTAAACATCTTTATTTCCTACCTAATTTATGCCCTTCTTTGCATGCCTTATAGGAACAGATTGCGAACCCGAAATTTTAGGATATTGCACCTCTAAAGAAAAGACTAATAGCATGTTTCGCCAATGATGCAAAAATCAACTTATTTTGGGAAGTGTTTTTTCTCAAAAATATTTTTGGTGAGAAGCAATTTGTGTTTGGCTAAATAACTTGAAAAAGACTTCTAAACAGCAATTAGTGTTTTGCCAAGCTTTTAAAAACTGATTCTAAGTGTATTTTTTTCAAAAGTACTTTTGGAGAGAAATTACTTTTTTCTACTTCTGTTACTACTAAACACTTTTTTTTTCTTCTAAAAGCTTGATCAAACACATCAACTTTGAAAAAGAAATATCTTTTTGTTTTTGAAAAGAAATACTTTTGACTTTGGAGATGTCAATTTACACCATGAACGAGTGATTCGTCCCTCGATTGAGCTCCATTGAAGAGCTCTAGAAGCTTCGCGTGAGAAAAAGGGAGAAGACTGATTTCAGAAATGAGAAAATGAACTGCACATTTTGTATTGCTATGTAACAGTGTATATATACACACGAGTACAGAACAAGATTAACTAACTCTAACTGAAAACTAATTGACAACTAAGCTGAGCCACTAACTAACACTAAGTAATTGTAACTAACTGTACAACACGTAAAGCTAAAGGTACAAGGTATAAAAGCATGAAACATAATAAATACAGCTCAATACCCCCCCCCCCTCCCCCCCGCCCCTCAAGTTGGAGGTGAAGGTTTCTCACCCAACTTGCTTAAGAGAGCAGAATGTTTGACACAAATGAGAGCTTTGGTAAGTACACCTGCTAGTTGAGCACCGGTAGCAATTGATGTAAGGAAATGAGGCCCTCATGAAGCTTGTCTCTCACAAAATGACACTCGACTTCGATATGTTTAGTTCTTTCATGGAAAACAGGATTTTTGGCTATGTGCAGAGCAGATTGGCTGTCACAAAAAACTGAGACTGGCTTAGGATAAGAGACAGTAAGTTCATCGAAGTATCTGCACAACCAAGTCAGTTCCCCAACAACTTTTCTCAAGGACCTATATTCTGGTTCTGTAGATGACAAGGAAACTGTTTCTTGTTTCTTGGACTTCCAACAAATTGGAATGTTCTCCAGTAGTACTATGTATCCAGTAACTGATCTCCTAGAATCTGGGCAGACTGCCCAATCTGAGTCACAGTAACCCTTCAGACTACAATCAGAATCATTAGACAGAAAAATTCCTAGAGTGGGATCACTTTTCAAATACCTAAGCAGATGAAAGGCAGCCTTCAAATGTGGTTCTCTGGGATCTTGCATGAATTGACTAAGATATTTTACATTGAAAGCTATGTCTAATCTAGTGTTTGTGAGGAAGTTTAATTTTCCTACAAGTTTTCTGTAATATGTAGAATCTGACAATGGTCTTCCCTCTTTGGCCCTCAGCTTCTCATTGGGATCAAAAGGAGTAGAGAGACTACTGTAGGAGATGCAATCAAATTCCTTAAGCATATCCAAAGCAAACTTCCTTTGTGAAATGATCACACCATCAGCTGTATACAAAACCTCCAAGCCAAGGAAATAATGTAGTCTTCCCAGATCCTTGATCTTAAACTGATCATGCAAGAAATGTTTGAGCTGAACAATCTCTGAAAGATCTGTTCCAGTAACAATGACATCATCTACATATACAACTATATAAATTGTGGAGTATTCTGTCTTCTTATAGAAAAGGGAATAGTCATTCAAGGAGTACACATATCCCCTTGAACATAAAACTTCAGTCAGCTTATAGTACCGTTGCCAGGTTGCATGTTTAAGGCCATACAGTGACTTGTTCAACTTGCAGACTAGGCCTGGAGAATCAGTTTCAGCCCTGGTGGCATCTGCATATACACCTCCTCATGAAGATCCCCATGGAGAAAAGCATTATTTACATCCACCTGAAAAATTTGCCATTGTTTCTTTACTAAGCTCTCACTGTTGTCATCTTTACAACAGGGCTGAAGGTCTTAGTGTAGTCTATGCCTGCTTGTTGAGTATAACCCTTCACTACCAACCTAGCGTTGAATCTTTCCACTGTCCCATTAGCTTTTTATTTTATCTTATAAACCCTTCTGCAGCCAATAGCTTGTTCGCCACTTGGCAGCGGTACAACATCCCATGTATGATTAACATGTAATGCCTCATACTCCTGAGTCATTGTTGCTTGCCATGTTGGATTAAGTGAAACTTCCTCATATGGAGATGGTTCATAGTCATTGCAAACATTCATCACAAGCAATTGACATCATGGATTAAGGATGCAGGTGAGATATGACTGTTTAAGGAAAACACGGCATTAAGAGAGGTGGAGGATGTTGATTGATCATTAGCTACAGAAGGAGGAGTGGATTTTAATTGAGGTATAATGTAAATATAATCTTGCAAGTGAGTAGGAAGCTTGTGTTGTCTCCCAGATCTCCTAGGCTCTAGAGTTGGTGAAGGATTTTGTAAAGTGTTGTTAGGTAAGTCTTGTAAGGTGACAATAGGAGAACCAGAAGGCTGTGGTTCTGAAAGAGAACCTGCAGAGTGATCAAGGATAGACTCAGCAGATGCATTGTTAGCATTATCTTGGCTGAGTGAAGTGTCTGTTGTGTATTGAGGAGCATCAGCATGTGGGTCAGTGATGAAGGGAATTGAATGTATGATTGAAGGGATGGAACCAGTAGTAGGAGAAATAGCAAAAGGGAAAATATCTTCATGAAAGATTACATCTCTAGATATGTGGATTCTTTTGGATTCCAGATAGCACTTTATAACCCTTAGTGTCAAAAGGATATCCAACAAAAATATGTGGCACAGTTCTGGGCTCAAACTTGTCCTTATGTATTTTTGGTATGCCAGGAAAGCACAGGCAGCCAAAACTCCTAAGGTGAGAGTAGTTTGGCTTCTTCTTGTATAGAAGTTCAAAAGGGCATTTGTTCTTTAGATAAGAAGTGGGTAATCTGTTTATCAGGTATGTAGCTGTTAGAATGCATTCTTCCCAATACTTCACAGGCAACTTTGACTGAAATAAGAGTGTCATGGCTGTCTCTAAAAGATACCTATGCTTCCTTTCAAGCACACCATTCTGTTGTGGTGTTTATGGACAAGTTCTTTGGTGGACAATGACTTGATCTTGAAAGAAAGAGATTGCTTCTGCACCAGTAAATTCTAACCCATTGTGTTATCTGATTGACTTTATGGTTGTGTGAAATTGGTTTTTAACTAGAGAAACAAAGGCTTTAAGAACTTGCAAGGCATTACTCTTACTGGATAGGAGGTGAGTCCAAGTGGATCTGCTATGGTCATCTACCATGGTAAGAAAGTATATATAATTGTTATGTGTAGGTATATGATAGGGTCCCCACAGATCAGTATGTAACAAATCAAATATCTGTTTGGTGTTGCTAGTCCTTTGGGGAAAGGGCAATCTGGTCTGTCTGGCCATTAAGCAAATAGAACACATAAAAAGTTGTTTGTTAAAGAAGGTAACATGAATGGTGGTAATGCTCTTCATTTTAACAAAAGGAACATGTCCCAATCTGTTATGCCGCAATACATTCACATCATTGCCATGAGACAAGAAAGAAAAGGGAACACAAACAGGAGTTTTATTATGAATGGATTTATGTACATTTGAGAGGTGATCACATTGTGAAGAGTCCTTATCACAGGTACTAGATGGCTTATTGCAGATGGATCTATTTACATCATAAGTGTGGGATGGAATACAAGAAACAGAAAGAGTAGATATTGAAACATTACTAGCATTCTTCAAGCAGAGAGAACAAAGAAGATACATCCCATCGCCGATCTTACCAATCTCCAGAGGCCCCTTCATTGAAGGGGCCTGCAGAAGACAACAAGTATCAGTGAAAGCTATTAAAGACTTGAGTTGGGCAGTTAAAGAAGAGATGGATATGAGATTAAATTTAAATGATGGGACAAACATGACTCTATGCAAGGTGATTTGAGGAGCAAGTGACACACTACACATTTCTGTCACCCTAACTCTGTAACCATTTGGGAGAGTAACCAACAAAGGATAAGGTAATACTCTAATATCTAGCAAAGAAGATCTATTGAAAGTCATATGATGAGATGCCCAGAATCTAAAATCCATGTGTCAATCCAAGTTCTGAAACATTTACAAGATAGTTTTTCAAAATCAATTGAGAATGTACAAGTGATCAAACCTGCAAAAGGCATGAATCCTACAGCAAGGTTCACAGCACCAGTCCCATGATTTGTACTCTTTGAGCTTTCTCCTCCACCGTTACCGTGAAAGTGTTGCAGGATATTAAGTAATTGACCATATTGCTCCTTGGACAAGTTTAGATTTTGGCTTTCATCTTTGGGTCCAAACTCATCTGCTTTAGCACATGTTCCATCAGGAGAAGTGATATGTGCATTGGCCAGCACCCTTTTGTGTTTATTATACTTGAAGTTCTGATTATGGCCCTGAGGGTAACCATGAAGCTTAAAGCATTTATCCTTAGTGTGACCTAGGCGCTTGCAATAGTCACATAATGGCCTAGTCCTGTTAGTGTTTGGAAAGTTAGCATTAGGGGCATAATTGGTTCTGAAATTATTGTTTCCAAAATTGTTGGCTTTTCCTGAAGTATTGACATGAAGGGAAACGGATTCTGCAGCTAAATGATTTGAAGGTTTCATCTCTCATTTCTTCTCATCTTGAATGAGTAAGGAGAAGGCTTGTTCCATTGAAGGTAATGGATTCATCATGAGAATGTTACCTCTTGCTGCTGTATAGACTTCATTTAATCCCATAAGAAATTGAATCAATCTCCTGTCCTGTTCTGCCTTGCACATATTTTCCTTGGCACCACAAGTGCATTGGCAGCTGCATTGTGTCTTTGCACTCAAGGTGCTCAGTTCCTCCCAAAGTTTCTTCAACTGAGTATAGTAATAAGTGATATCCAAAGTACCCTAGGATAAATCATTGATCTCCTTTTGAATTTGGTACAGTCTCGCACCATTTGTCTGTTCATATCAAACTTCCTGTTCTTTCCACAGTTCAACTGCATCACTAGCATACTCTATAGTATCTGCTATTTCCTTTGATAGTGAATTAAGAATCCAAGAGGTCACCATATCATCACAACGTTCCCATTGTCGAAATTTAGGTGATTGATCAGGTCGTTTGCATTCTCCACTGATAAAACTAGTCTTATTCTTAACAGATAAACCACGCAAAATAGCGTGTCGATATGAACTATATCCAATTCCACTAAAAGCTACACTGACTAACATAGCTCCAGGATTGTCTGGAGGATGTAAGTAGAGATGAACACTAGGATCCATTCCAGAATTAGCGACAGTTTCGACATTTACAGTAGCACCAGTTGCATTGCTTTGATCAGTAACAGCCATGTCGAATTTGAAGAAATATGCGTTCAAATTGAAGGTGAAAAATCAAAACCTAAATCGATGGCGAAATGAGGTACTTACACCGTATGAATTGAATGGAATTAGGGCAGAATCGAGAAACACTTTTGGACTAAGAGACGACTGAGACGAATGGATCGAAGGCCTCTGTGCTCTGATACCATGTCAATTTACACCATGAACGAGTGATTCGTCCCTCAATTGAGCTCCATTGAAGAGTTCTAGAAGCTTCGCGTGAGAAAGAGGGAGAAGACTGATTTTAGAAATGAGAAAATGAACTGCACATTTATATTGCTATGTAACTGTGTATATATACACACGAGTACAGAACAAGATTAACTAACTCTAACTGACAGCTAATTGACAGCTAAGTTGAGCCACTAACTAACACTAACTGTACAACACGTAAAGCAAAAGGTACAAGCTTTAAAAGCATGAAACATGATAAATACGGCTCAATAGGAGAAGCTTGGACAAAACAGGGTATAAGGCGAGCGACGCAATCTTGTTTTTTGTTTTTTTTTGTTTTTTTGGGTCCAGATCAGAATCCACTTTCCTTTGCAAAAATTGCAGATTTATGAAGTCCTTTGATATTTCTTTAAATTAGACGGCAATAACAGTTGCTATGAAGAAGTATTTGGACCCTGGAAAACTACCTTTATCATTTTCATTAAAATAGAGAGGAGCAACGACTGATCAACACTTTCTTTTTCCTACCAACGAAATCACATACTTACAGAACTTCAAAAGGATATAAAAAATATAATTAGTTATAGAAACATAAATCTAAAGTTCTATTTGTCATATCCCTATTTTCATCTTCAGATTTTGACAATTGTCAATTGAATAGATCTAAAGTATGTGTCAGCTACTATATTTCGTTGTCAAAGAGAACTATGTCAGCTTCTCTACAATTTTATAAATTACGAAGTTGTTCGACAGGCAATGAAGCTAATTGCAATTGAAAAATAAGAAATTGTATCGTAGGAAGAATCGCAAGCTACAGAAATTGGAGGAAGCAATGTAACTTGAGATCATTTTATTAACTCTGTACAAAAGAATATTTAAAAAAAAAAAAGTATTTTCTGCTCCAAGTAGGTGAACAAAAAGTGAAGAAATGAAAGCGGAAAAGCAAAAAAGAGCAATTATTTACAATGAACAAAAACAACAGAACGCAAGACTAATATAGCGTTCCTGAAAAAGCAGGCATGCCAATCGCATATGACATTTCCCTGCATATAAAAAAACAAGAGGTTAGCTCTACAAAAGAAAGAAATGAAAAACATATTAACAACATTTTAATATGTATTTAAAATTATTAATTATCAGATTACTAAATGCCCATTATACTTGTTTGGCTCAAAAGTTAACGATATACTTTGTAAGCGATAAAACAATCAAAAATAGAAAAGGGGTAAATCGTAATCAAATATAATAAACCTAGAGATGCAAAGATGATAATATTGTTGTAGATCTGATATTGCAAAGTGATAATGTTTACCAATAAGATATTTTCGTTAGAGGTAGAG